ACTAATATCTAACACTTTCACTTACCTCGTGCCACATCTCCACGCCTCTTTCGACGTTACATGATCGGCGATCGCGATGTAGCGACAGACTCGCCGTTATCACCCCCAACAATGCTTAATTAAATGCCAGCCTTATATTATTCTAATCTGAATTTCCTAAAAAAGAGAGTAATTAATATAAATATATTTTTTCATGACAAATATTATACAACAAAATAACTAATTAATTTATGAATTTTACTCACTCAACTTATAATTATATGCTCAATTAAATGCCAGCCTCGTATTGTCCTAATCTGAAGTTCTAAAAGAGAGTAATTAAATTAATATAAATATAGTTTTTCATAACTAACATTATACAACAAATAATCAATTAATTTATAAATTTTACTCACTTAACTTAGTTTTTCAATAGAAATTATGCAACGAAGTAAATAATTAACTTACAAATTTTATTTACTCAGCCTATAATTATATGCTTAACTAAGCATTAACATCATATTATTCTAATCCAAATTTATAAATTCATTTCTTTACAACCCAAATTCTCAGGTATCTGACTCTATGCATAGTATATTAACCTATTTTTAAAAACTAATGACCAATCTTATTCTTTTTACCAATACATCTATTAGTTCTACCTGCCCGCTCATCATTTGAGTCTATGATGTTAATTGTTTGAGTTAATTATATAAGTCGATACTATGAATTAATGATTTTTTTTTCATCAATATCATTATAAAAGGTACTTATCGAGTAATAATGAATGATCTAATTTTAGGTTTCTATATAATAAATCTTTTAATAAATTAATTAAATTATTATTAATTATTATTAATAAAAATAAGAACAAAAGACTCGTACATTGTAATTGATTGACTCCTTGATGAATAGCAAGAAGTACGTCTTAAACATGAAAGAGAACAAAAATGTCAAAAAAGATCAGAAGAGGTCTTTGAGCAATGTAAGACATGACTTGTAAGGATGTGTGAATGAAAAAAGGAAAGAATATTAAATGAGAATAGTGAAGAACATGAAATGCGCCTTATTCGCGAAAGAGAATGTAGGCATAAATAGCGTGTTCAAGTACTAACTCAAAAATATATAAATATACAACATAAGGAGACAGAAACGTGAAATCAAAAAGCAATGCAAAAAAATAATAATAACTCACCCATATACATAGCACCACTCGCACCACTTTCAGCACTATTATTAAGTTAGAAAGAACATTGTATCTTACAGGATTTCTGTGAAAAAATGGATAGCATTCAGTATAATTCTTGTCCTGTATATAATGAGCAAATTCCATTAATAAAAATTAAAAATGGAATGTGTTATTGCTATTGCCTAGATAAATCATTAATAAAGAAATTTTCAGTGACAAATAATATTAATCTGGGAGACATATCCAAAGAACTTAAAGAGCTTTCAGAAATAGAAAAGATGCTAATCGCTTAAGTATTCATAGTAATGTTGGTATACTGACTTCGAGGAGGTCAAAATGAATATAGAGGAAACGTTATAAATTTTTCTCAAGATGTATATAAATTCACAAAACAACTACCACGGCACCTATCGTCTTTGGATATTCTCGTAGTACAAAGATCGACAAATAAATCAATTGCATATAAAGATTTCCACATACATTGAGAAAAAGTTGCTGCTGCACTATTATGATTAAAAGTAAACAATCATTACTATAAAGACATTATTATCGATGATAAAGTTCTCTGATACTTACCCGAAGATGAATCTATTGTTAATAAACTTCTACAGATTCAAAATGATCAATCAAGAGAAGAGATCTTAGGTAATAATGAGGAAGTGATATCACATACTTTTGTGCCATCTATGTCTTCAGCAAATCGCAAAGAAGTAGTCATTAATGATATGCTTGATCGCATACAAAGCAATACAATACCCTTAATTAATTTTTTTTTTATAGTTAGTTTATACATTAAAGTATATATACTTGCCTAAACATGTATAAAAAATCAGGCAATTTTTTTGTTTAACAAGTTAACCATAAAAAAAAAAAGTGAAATAGATTGATATTTATATCAAGTTTTACATTTAAGAATTACAAATCTGATTACAAATTTTAATTAATTTTGTATAAAGATTTGTAATAGTATTGTTTCCAAAGGGAACAATACTAACAAATTGTAAAACAATATGAGTTACAATTTGTAAAATGATAATATTTGCAAACACAAATTGTTATTGGTATTTAAAAGGTTGTCTTACCAATAATATGATTTTGGAACAATAAGAGTAATAGATTTTTGATGCACTCTGTCTAGGTATCTGATTGTGTGCTGTGTACCAATTATATCCCTTGCACCTATGCAAAGGGTAACAATGGTCCTGGGACATGCTAATTGGTACAAGTTGGTATGAATTGTTAATAGCACTGTGAAAATGCATGGAAATTGCTCTTGTTAACCTAATTAGTGTATTTTGGATTATCCTTATTGCTCATGTGCAAAAAGAATTGATGTTTTAGTATACAATAGCACTTGAGTTCTTATGGTAGTTGTACCTACAGTCCCTGGAGTGACTGTGTTGGGCTCTAATCATATTCTCTTGTGTCCAAGCAACAATTATTTAACTGAGTTCAGGACACTCCTTGGTGTAGACCAAGTTAAATAACATCAAGTAAATTGCCTGTTAACTTTGTAAATTCAAAAATCTCTTGCACAAATAAACCCATAATCGTAACTACTTTCATTTCAATTAATGCTTCATTTTTTATTATCAAGAGTTGACCATATATTGATGCAATAAAATCCTGAAATACACATACAAAATCAATTGAGATTATATGAAATCAGCTATGATATAGCCCATAATAAACCGTAATCGATAATTGATTTGAGAAATTTTGTTTTTATCAATCTTGATCAAACCGCGATGAGTCATAATCATACTATTATTAGCTTAACTTTAGGAAATAAATTTATATTACCACTTCCTTGTAAATATGATTATTGTTTTTAGATATGTTATTGTTTTACATATTCTTTGTATAATTACGCACAAATAATTATATTAACTGACTATAATACAAGATTAGAAACACTTTATTTTTTTAGCTACATGAGAAAGTATAAGAAATTGATAATTTTTGGATGACTATATACACACTCATGATTAAAATAGTCTTTATTATTTTATTAAGAATCACGTAAAAATTCAAAAGCTTAGATGAGTATGAAAGAAACCTTATTTACAGTAATTAATATCAAGTGCAATTTTGTTTTAAACTTTATATGTTATTCATTAACATCATAAACTTTCCTGCTAATTAGACAGTACAAACCAACTCTCAAAATGACAAACATATATTTCAAATCCACATCTTTTCAATTTCATAATGGTTCGAGATATTCATTGCTTTTCGTTTTTATCTTCCATTCCAAAACCTCCTCTACTGTCTTTTGATTTTTCCAGAATAGATCATTAATTTTTAGTTTCAAAACTTTCTCTTCCGATTTTTCCAATAACGATTATGAAACTTTAGTTGCTTCTTGCCAATTATCTCGAGTATTGTTCAACTTAATGTTTTCTATCTTAATATTATCAAATTCGATCACTATTCTTTTTCCAATACTTGTTTTCACTAAATTAATTGCTTTTCCACCAAGATTAGAACTCTGTGAATACACTTGAAATTTGGGTTCAATGTCTGTGTGAAGAGTGAGAATTAAAGTATCTATAAAGACTTGTTTCAATTCCTCTTCGTTTGAATATTTAACACTGTTATTCTTCAATGGCTTAAGTAAAGTTTTCTCTATAAATCGACAAAAAGATTCAATGTTATGCTCTGCCTCCAAAATCTGCAAACATTTTCGCACAGGCATTAAATCTTCTTTTTTCCAGTCATAAATCTTAAGTGTCTCTGTGATAAATTCTCTTTTAGCAACATGATTCGGGATTCAAAAACTATGCTATAATGATGTGGGTGATGGATTTGGTTGATATGTGATAGCTCCAGTATAGAACATGAATAACAACAATGGGATACGATCAGTTGCTAGCTCACAAATATTAGTGAGTCTAAATCGTCATTCTATGTCATTTCTAGATTCGAGAAGGTATTGATTGAGTGCTTCGGTAAGAATAGATTTTCCAAGGGGATTGTTGACAACCAAGTCCAAAGTTATTTGAGAGGGTAATGTTTGTGATCAGAGGGGATATCAAGAAGTGTATCAAGGACAACTAAAGGATTCCAATTATCATTGATTTTTTTTATTCTTTCTATTAATCAAGTAATACAGTGTAGAACATGTGCAGTGTTGAAAATCCCTTCGGGTTGATCACGGTGAAAAAAATACCCATCATTTTTCTCCTTTAACCATGATATTATTTCCTCTTTAATATTATCTGATAAACTATTTCCAAAAGCCTTATCCAAGAAAAACTCAACTTCCGATTTCTTGAAACCATACAAGTCCCAAAATTCCTCAATTAACACTAAATCTTTCGAAATGTTAAAGCCCAAGATTAATTCGACCAAAACGAGAAAAGTAACACCCGTTTAAAAAATATGAGCTATGCCTTCATCACAAGCATACTTCAGCAAACTATAGAATTGTTTAAATAAACTATCAATTTTTTTGACTTTGCTTTGAACTGAGGAATTATTATAAGCGATAAGAGGTTGTAAGAATGTTTCATTTTTAAGTGCTTTGTTTATAAAAGCATTGTATTCATCGATGCAAACATAAAGCTAAAGATGCAAAAGAATATTAGTTTAAAAATTTTCAAATAGAGATAATAACTGAATAAAAGATAACATACCTTGCAATCACTTGATTGTATCACTTCCAATAATATCATGAAATTGTCCAAAGCATCTTTATTTATATAAACAGTCTGAAAATATTCACCTAACTTTTGTCTGTATCAGTTCATAAATCTTGATATAAATCTATTCAATCTTGTGTTAAAGCTCTCCTTGAAGATTTCGAATATTGGATTGGTATGAAGTCCCATAAAATTGAATTTCAGAATGAGAAATGAGGTTACTAATTTTGTAAGGTTTTTGCTGATGTATAAATCTTCAAAAAGTTGTTTGAATCGTTCTCTGTTTTTTATATTATAATAAGAGAACAAAGTAGACAGAAATAGTGTTTTTCCAAAATGATAAGGACATAAGGAAAGAATGATAGGAGTACAGAGAGTCTCTATTTTAGAAATAAAGTGAGTCTTATCTAAATAATAACAACCTTTCTACCTTAAATCATCAAATGACCCTATTGAATATATTTCAAGAGTATCCGATGATTGTACATCTGATAAGAATTGAGGAAAGAGTGAAAAGTGAAAAGAAGGGCAAGATCGAATGAGTTTTCTTAGAAATACCATGGCACATAACACTTTACTCATCTTACTGCAAGAATGGGAGGTTAAATGATACAGTCACGTGTAAATCTGTAAATCGGCAAATCCAAACTTGGAAAGTAATTAAATAGCTTAATTTTAAAAATAATTGTTAATTTTAAATATAAATATTTGACAATAAAAGTTTGGTTTAAATAAAGTTTAATTTTTAATTAAATTAAATACTAATATTATATTTTTTAAAAATTAAATAAAAATTAGTATATACTTATATAAGTAATTATTTTTGAAGATAATAAAAATATTAATAAATATTTTTTAGGACATTTTTTTAAATGCATAAATTTCATTGCCATTTTTTTAAATACATAATTTTAATTAATCTTTTTTAAAAATTCTATAAACTTTTATACAGTTTTAAAAAATTTTATAATTTAAAAATTTTTATAGTTTTTAAATCTCTAATATACAAAGTAAGTAGATTAATTGTAACTATTACAAATAAAATTAATATATGCAAACCTTTGAAAATCCAAGTAAAGAAAAAGAAAAAAATAAATAAATAATAGTTAGCTACTAGTTATATTATAAACTATACATACAGTTCTCTCCAATAAATTCAGAACTACTTAAAAATTATTATAATTAAATAGAAATAATTGTCATATATTAAACTTTTTATATATTAAATAAACTTGTTTTTTATAATTAATTCTATATATATTTGATTTTTTATTAAATTCAAACAAACATTTATTATTACATTTAATAATTTTTTTAAACAAAAATTTTTTAATTTATTGTTAAAAATTTGATACATATATGATTTGTTTTAATAAATAATTTGATATTAATAAATTTTGTTTTTTTTTTTTTTGTGAGGTACTTCTCAAATTGTGATCTTTATTAATTGTTGATTCAATTTTTACAGAGAAAAACTTAATATAAAATTTACAACAAT